AGTACTTGTCTTCCTAATACAAACTATACTCACTAAATTAAAATGCACTACAGCTAAGTGCAGGTGGTTGACATCTGTAATCCTAGCTACCTGGGAGGCTGAGATTGGGAAGATCGAAAGTTAAGGGCAGCCCAGGCAAATAGTTTGCAAGACTCCATCTCCAAAGTAACCAGAGCAAAATAGACTGAAGATGTGGCTCAAACAGTAGAACACCTGATTTGCAAGCATGAAGCCATGAATTCAAACCCTAGTCCTGTCAAAAATAAAATAAAATAAAATGCACTTCAAATGTTGGTCATTGATATGAGCTCTTTGCTGGATCAGATAATAGTTCTCAAATACTAGAAGAAAATTTTCTGGTTTTTTTTGTGTGTGGTTTTTCCAATTTAATGGCTATTGATAATAGAAACTTTAAAGTTTATCCTGCATTATTAACATTTGCTCCATGGCTTTCTTAAGTCTAACCAATCAATGAAGCAATAAATCAAATGTTGAGTGTCTGTCAAGCACCCTGCCATGGAAAAGTCCATGAAGTGTATCCTTCCTTCCTCAGTTGACTTGGGAAATTTTCATGCCCTGAAACTGTTTAGTACACATAGCCTTGCTTTATGTGCAGCATCATCAACTCTCAGAGAGCTAAAGTCTGTCTTTCATACTATCACTCATTGATTTTAGATTAGTGCTACTTGAATTGCATAGCAACTGCTCTGTTCATCACTTGGAGGGAAGATAAAATACACATTTTAAACACATGGGGAAAAAAGTAAAAAACACGTTAAAGTAATATTGTAGGAACAGTCCAGGAAATTACACAATAGAAAGCTCACTGCTGTCTGATGGAGTCAAAGAAATTTCCTGTTGATCTAAACTAGAATATAAAGGAAGCTGGGCCTTAGCGTGAGGCAAACTAGGAGAAGAGGTCTGGAAGGCAGGAAAAAGGAGAAACAGATGGTAGAAGGTAAAGTTGACTGGGTAAGGGTGGATCTTTTAAAGGCCAGGCTGGGAAGCTTGAACTTGGTCCAATAAATAGTCAAAGGTCCTTTTAGATCTGCATGCAAACAAATGGCTTAGGGGTGATATTGAAGCAGAAGTCTGGTAGCATCCCCATGACAGGAATTTCAGAAACTATTTCAGAGACTTAGGTTTAAAATACAAGTGACAGAGCTGTCTTGTTCCTCCAGGTATGATGCAATGAGAACAGTATGATGGCTCATTCCTGCAATCCCAGCACTCAGTAGGAGGTGGAGGCATAAGGATAATGAGTTTGATGCCAGCCTGAGCTACATGGCAAGACCCTGTCTCAAACAAAACAAAGCAAGTATCACAGTCATAGAAGACAAAAAAAAAAAAAAAGACTGAGAAAGCATCACAGATTAAGGAGACAAAAGATGCCCAAAAACTAAAGGCAATGTAGTGTTTTGGATTAGATATCCTGGAACAGAAAAGAAACATTAAAGAAATGGCCAGAAAATACAAATAAAATCAGTAGTATAGTCAATAGCTTTGCATCAATGTTAACTTCTTAGTTTTAATGGTTTCATAAGTTGTTAACATAGGAGAATATGGGTGAAAGGTGTATAGGAACTCTGTAAACTGTAAATTTAAACTCTTCTGTAAGTTTAAAATTATTTTTCAAGTTAAAAAAAATCCTCCCAATCCTTCTCTCTGCTCCTAGCTGGTCTCAAGAGGGGGCAGGGTAGGGGGCAAAATCCTGTAAAGGTTGAAACTTTAGAGGGTGTTTCAGAAACAAGGGACTTGAGTGGCTCCAGGCTCTGCTTCTCTCAGTCTATATGACTGTTCCTAGGTAAGTACTTATATTCTCTGAGCCTGGAACCCCACATTTTAGAAACAAGATCATCAAGGGGCATCTGTTTAACAAACAGTACTGGGAAAACTGGATATCCATATGCAAAATAATAAATTTGGAATTTTACCTTATGCCATTTGCAAAAACTAACTCAAAATGGATTAACGATCTAATGTAAAAGCCAAAAATTTTAAAACTCAGAAGAAAACAGAAGTGAAAGATTCATGACATCATATTTAGCTGTGATTTCTTGGATATGACACCAAAACCACAGACAACAAAAGCAGAAATAGATAAATCAGACTTCATTGAAATTAAGTGTCGGGGCTGGAATGTAACTCAGTGGTAGAGCACATACTTGGCATGCACAAGGCCCAGGACTAATCAACGAGGCACTACAAAAAAAATTGTGTGCATCAAAGCACTTTATCAACAGAGTGGGAAAAAAGTCCTATTTCTAGTGCCTACAGCCCAAAGACAGAGAAAACACTTGGGAGTAGCATGTGAGATACAAGGTTAATGGACAATAACAAGGAAAGTAACAGGGACAATAAACTTACTAATAAGGCCAAATGTCCAGTGGTGACCACATTAAGCAGGAAGCATCCAGTGGTGGTGGGCTAGGCAGAAAACCACACCAAAGAGTTCTAGCAGATCTTACCTCCACAGCACTCATTGCTAAGATTCAGTGGCTGCTGGCTGCACCAAGAGCACCTCTCTCTCCTTTCTGCTTTGTCCAAGTCCAAGGTTCAGTGTTGGCTGCCAGGACTAGCAACATTTATCTTCCATGGTGCTTTGCTCCATACTGCTTACCACGGGCAGAAGGGCTTAATAAGTTAGACTACATATGCAATGACATCGTTAGCTCAGCATTCCAAGGAGTAGCTGACTTAGCAGATGTGCAGGAAGCAGGTTGTCTTCTAGATAACACCAGTTTACTCCCATTCCCAGTGTGCAAGAGAGGGAGTTAGTGGCCCCCAGATAGCCCTATCCTCCTTTTCTCAGCCCACTTTCATGTCCTCTTGACTTAGCAAGAGTCTTGGGAAAAAAAAGAGACATTTTAGGTATATGGCACTTGATGCTGGTACTCTATTTTTCTCACCATTGAATGTGAGAAAATATTTTCAAATCATAGGTCTTCTAAGGGATTGATATCTAGAATGTATAAAGAATTCCATGACTCAAAACAGACAAAAGGCATGAGTAAGTATGTCTACAAGAAAACGTGCAAATGTTCAAATAAGTACAAGCAAAGATGCTCCATAGTTACTAATCATTAAGGAAATGCAAATCTAAACACAGCAAGATACCACTTTACATCCCTTAGGGTGGCTATCCCTTAAAACAAACAAACAAAAGAAAATAAGTGTTGAGGACATGGAGAAACTGGAATCCTGTGTACTGCTGGTGAGAATGTAATATACTGCAGCTGCTCTAGAAGAAGTTGTGGTAGTTCCACAAAAAAAATTAAACATGAAACTATCATATGATCCAGCAATTCCACTTCTGGGTATATAACTAAAAGAAGTAAAAGCAGGAGCTTTGATAGGTATTTGTACATCCATGTCCATAGCAGCATTATTCACAAGAGTCAAAGGTGGAAGCAGTCCAAGTATCTATCAACTGACGAATGGTTAAATAAAATGTGGCATATGCATAAAATGGAATATTACTCAGCCTTATAAATGAAAAAAATTTTGCCTTACTATGCTACAACATGGATGAAGCCATTAGGCTAAGGGAAACAAGCCAGTCACAAAGGACAAATATAATGAGCCTAGTAATCACATTCATGAAAAGTAGAAAGAAGTAGAATGTTCAGCTAGTGGCTTCTGCCTGTAACCTTAGCTACAGGAGGGTAGAGATCAGAAGGATCCAGGATCTAAGCCAGGAGGGGCAGGATCCAGACTCTATCTCAAAAACACTCAATAGAAAATAGGTTTGGTGGAGTGGCTCAAGTGGTAAAGCGCTTACCCAGCAAGCACAAGGTGCTGACTTCAAGCCCCAGTACCACGGAAGAAAAAAAAAAAAAAAGAGTAGTTTGTTTGTTGCTGGGGTCTGTGGAGGAAGGGAATAAGGTAGTCCTTCCATAACTGCAGAGTTTCAATTTGGGAAGAAGAAAAAATTCTAGAGATAGATGATGGTGATGGTAGTACAACAATGTGAACGTACTTAATTATTTAATGTTTCTGAACTGTGCACTTAAAATGGTCAAAATTTAGGTTACTCATATTTTACCACAATTTAAAACACTTTATAAAGGAAGATTGGCTTGATCGATTTTGAAGAAGTGTGAGGATTAAATATGCTATTCTAGGAAATGTGTGGGACACACATAGTGAAGAAATAAAACTAATTCTGTCTCCCCTTCCTCCTCAAAGCTGCTAGATGATTGATTATATGCCATTTAAACTCAAGAATTAACCCACTAAACAGAGGGAAATTCTGCAGCAATTTTAATTGGATGATATTGATGTCTGTTTATTGTATGGACTCCTATTCTTTCCTTTCTACACACACACACACACACACACACACACACACACACACACACACCATCCTCAAAATCTCAAAAATAAGTCAGAAAGAAAAGATGGTTAGAAACCCTAGGAAAGGCAATAGCAAGCCCACACAGCCACAGAGCTGTCGGGATTTTTTTTTCGTCCTAACGATCGTTTTTGCTTCCGGGGACTGTCCACTCAAGGCCGACGTCTCACCACTAAGGTTTTAATTATAAAAAACATGCATCCCAATGTTTTCTTCGCGTCTGGGATTCCAAATCTACGCAACGTAGGCTTCGGGCGCTCCCAAACTTCAGCGAGGCTGGCATCTCACCATGCGTTTTGGTGAGTACCCCGGGTAAGCATCCGCGAGGATGCTACCGCAAGGCGCACCCCCCAGCTTGATCGGCGCACCGCAATGGGACCGCGTGCGCCCATACTTCGCGCAGGACTCCGAACCGCGGCCGGTGCCTCTCCCTGCCCTGAACAACCTCCCCGCTCGGAACAACCTCCTCGCTGTTCCGACGGGCAGTGGGTGGGTGCAGCCTCCCGCCCCGGGAGCCCGGTGCCAAGGTCGGATCGGGTGACCACTGCAGGCGCACTGAGCTGTTGGGCCAGCCAGCGGGCTGAAGGGGGCCCCGCCCCCGGCCCCGCCCTTCCAGCCCGGGCGCCTAGCCCGGCGCTGCACTAGCCTGCGCTCTGCCAGCTCACGGGCATTAGCGCCCGTTCACGCGCCGCTGCCATGTGTGCCCCAGCCGCGCCAGCGCCACAGTTGCTGCTCCTAGCGTTGAACGCGCTGCTGTGGCCCGCAGCTGGCGCCTGGGAGCTCACGATCCTGCACACCAACGATATGCACAGCCGGCTGGAGCAGACCAGCGAGGACTCCACCAAATGCAACAACGCCAGCCTCTGCGTGGGCGGCGTGGCGCGGCTCTTTACCAAGGTAGAGCAGATCCGCCGAGCGGAATCCAACGTTCTGCTGTTGGACGCTGGCGACCAATACCAGGGCACCATCTGGTTCACCGTGTACAAAGGCACCGAGGTGGCGCACTTCATGAACGCCCTGCGCTACGATGCCATGGTAAGGCGAGAGAACTCGGGGTGGGAATCCCACACTGAGAGAGAGACCGGCTGGAGAAGCAGCTGGTGGCACGGTGTGGCAAGCCTAAGACCAGGACTCAGAGAGATGCGGAAATAAAACTAGATTCTGGCCAGTGTGCTGGTTGGATGCAGGCAGAAGTCCCTTGGATGTTTGTCTTAAACTAATGTTATTGGACTTCACAAAGTAGGATGAGAGTATTAAAGGAGTAGGACCCGCTCCGCCTACGAGGTGCTTCAGTTGGGGTGCATAGGGGCATTGACAGTTACCGAGTGCTAGGGACTGAACTAGATCTTCCACAGACTCTCATTTACCGCTGACTTTCAAAGAGCGCCTTATCTCGATTTTATTGAAAGGGAAACTGAGGATCAAAGAAGCTTGGTAAATTATGTGGATTGCCAGCCCCAAAAGAAGAAAACATAGTCAGGTGGCACCAGATCCGTTAACCTCGAAGTCTGAGTGTAATAAATGTACAGCTTGGGTAGAGTTCCGGCTCAACTATTTTCTGTGTGACCTTGAGCAAGTTTTTTTTTTTTTTCCTCTCTATGCATCAGTATCTTCTATAAACGGGAATAATTCTGTCTGAACATAATATGGTCTGTATAAATGTTAGTTGTTGTTACCAGACACAAAAAAAATAGGTTCAAAAGAAAAGAAGCTTCAGAGAGGACCAAAATGTAGAAACACTGGGAGTTAATAAAATCAATTTGGCAGCAAAGATTTAGGAACAGCCCAACCTAAGAGAGAAAATTTTGACAGCTTAGTCCAGTTTCCTGGATACTCTGTTAAAGGCGATGCCTTGTTTCTTGGTCTAAATTCTAGAGAAGGGGCAGAGAGGGAATACACAAAAATAAGTACCGCTGGACATTGGTGGCTCACGCCTACAATCATAACACAGGAGGCAGAGATCAGGAGGATCACAGTTGAAAGCCAGCTCAGGCAGATAGTTCGTGAGACCCTATTTCGAGAAACACACACACACACACACACACACACACACACACACACACACACAAAATGGCTGGTGGAGTGGCTCAAGGTGTAGGCCCTGAGTTCAAACCCAAGTATCGCAAAAAAAAAAAAAAGAAGAAAAGAAAGTATAACCGAGATGTATTTACACATCAAACCACCACCCAAGTTTAACCCTGTGTGAAAGAATAAATGGATTCAGTCAGATTGGGAACAAGAAAAATTAAGAGCTTTGAAAGAGAAAGAATAGAGCAAGGGTTTCTGGAATCTGTGAGGTCTGGGAGCAAGGAAGGGAAAGGAGGGTGTGGTCCAGGCTGGGGTGTAGAAGGCTGATGATGTACTTGCAAAAGAAGAGCTCAGAGGTCAAGAAAGCATAATACTGTACTTTTTCCTCTGGAAATGTGGAGAAGAGAAGATAGGAAAACAGTTTTGTTTTGTTTTTCTTTTTCCCCAACAAGAAAGCTTCTTTGAGAGAGATGAGAGAAACAGGAGAGAGCTCCCTGACTCTCCTGAATGTTGCTTTAGAGTTTCTCAAAGCAGCAACTATTTAAACATGTCCCAAGTTTATGGATGTGGGCAGCACAGCTGTACTCCTCAGAAGAAGGGTGGGTCTCAAGAGCTCTGTGGCCTCTTAGCCTGGCTCTTTCCACAGCTAGAACTGCCTGATGCAGGAATGACAATACAAATATTTATATAATTGAATTGTGACTAGTTTAGTCTTCACTTCCTCCCAGAAGGGTAAAATAAACCTTATTTGAGTTTGTTTTTATTTCAAGTGTAAACCACAGCTTTGTAACATTTTCTTTTTCTAACACCCTTTCCTCTACAGGTCTGTAAACTTCTTTTGTTTAAAAAAAATGGAGAATTCCTAGTTTTCCCAATAATAATATTTGTCTCTTTGAGTCAAATGGAGCTCACAGTATAAATCACAGTATCAAATGCTTATGAGGAGGCAGCTGGGTGAGGCTAGAACTATCTGTCAACAAGTTGTAGCCCATCTCCTTGAATGTTTAAGAGTACTTTTTTGTGGAATGGAATTACTTTCTTTCAAATTTTGCTCAAAGTAATTGGACTGGGGCCTGGGGAAAAACATAAGCTACTCATATAACTTTGGCAGGAGATGGAATGGCAAAGTTGACAGCCATGCTTTGATAGCACCAGAACCTACCCTGCACAGTTTGGGGGACAGGGAGAGGACTGACAAACATGATTTGACCTGCATAAAATCCTAGTTCTAAAGCATGTGACACAGTTCTGCAGTCTTCCTGTCTTACAGAGATTTTTCACTGTCATTTTGCTTATTTTATACTAAGCCTTGAGGAATTTATTGCTGTTCCATGATAAAGGTTCCCCCATCATAGCCACCTGCTACTTCTTGATCCTTGGATACTGGAGATTCAAATCAGAGTGGAAAACACTATGCTGGAGTATCTTCCCTGCAAATGGGACCTGATATAGAGGAACTCCAAGTAAGGACTTCAGGGTATGAGGATAAAGAGGAAGCCTCTAGAATCTAGCTTAGCACCAGGAGTCCTGTAGAGCAGGGGCTTTCTAGGAAGTGTAGACTTTCTAGCCCTGGATGTCCCTAGAAGAGATGCTGGAGCCATTGTGAGGGCCCCTGGTCCCAGGTGCTAAGCAGAAGACTGTGGGGGGAGGATGGCAAAAGCAGCCAGTTCAGTTGGTGTAGCTGTCTTAGTGGAAGAATGGTGTCTTCTTAACTAAAAGGAAGAGAGTGAGGATGTGCCAGCCATGTGCCTTTAGTGTGAGTACTCTGAATCTCATGTCCCTTACTGTAAAGTAGGAGTTATAGCTCCCACCATGGAGGGCTTTTGTGATCAGTACATGACATAAAACATGAAAACCCCTAGTCTCCTGCCTGCTCATAGTAAGTGCTTATTCAAATTAGTTCCATATGCTTGCTGGGGAGAGAGCGGGGGACATTGTGAGGAAGGGGATGTTAAAGTTTGGCATCATCAGTTTGTGTGGTTCAGATAGCTTGGCACAAACTACCACCTGTGTCTTCTCTGCCATCTTTTCTAAATACCAATGTCTAAACTATTACTAATATTTACTCATTGGCAGACTTATGAAATCTTCCCAAAGCACAAAACCAAAGGGACTCCTTGACAGAGGGGAGAGTCTCACCTTTGAGATGGACTGTAAGGAGGACAGTTTTCCATGGGTCTCTGGGCCTCCCAGAAGTGTGGCCTCCTGTCTATCTGATCCCTGCCTCTGAGGCTCTGGCTGCTGAGCCCACTTTCTGTCCAAACTTCCCCCAAATCCCTCAGCCAGCAGCCAGGGTGGAGGCCCTAGCCTTTGCCTTTACTCATTCAGGAAATAGGTAGGCAGAACAGCCCTTTGGTTGTCATCCCCAACTTCCTGCATAGGCAGACACTCTAATGTGTCTGATGTACATGGTTTGTTTCCAACATTTAAATTGTTTGAGTAGCCCTTCTAGCTCATTCTGTCTCTTTTGTCCTAACCTTACTGTTTTTGTGATTTGCTCATGTTGCTCTGTATTTGCCTGCACCTATATATCATTGTGCATCCTGCCCTGTGGTGCTCTCCACTTCACCCATCCGATTCCTGATGGTTTTAGAGTGGTCTGTAACTCCCCGCCTCACAAATTGTGCTGCACCATATGTCTTCCTGCAGGTCCCACTGTGAGGATTTCTTTGAGATCCATACCCAAGAGCAAAATTGCTGCCACAGAAAATGTGTACATAGTATTTACTTTAACTGAACCCTGCCAGATCATCTTCTTGAATGGCTGGCACCCCCTACTCTCCCTTTCGCCCCAACAGGATGTGTAGATCCCTACATCTTTACCTATTCTTCATAGCATTATCTAGCTTTCTAGGCAGTAAAGATGTCAAGTGACATCACATACTTTAATCTTGTGTTTTTCTCATAACTAGTGAGTTATGACACCTTTTAGTATGTCTGTTATTTGTGGGGCTTTCTCTTTCTCAGTTGCATGTTCACATCTTTTGCTTTCTAAAAAAAGTTGAATTTGCTTTACTTTTCTTTTATTTTACTATTTTTTTCTCATTTTATTAGGTATATTAATTGTACAAAGGCGTCTCACTGTGATATTTCTATCCATGCTTATAATGTACTTTGATCAAATTTGTTCATTCTGTTCTTTTTTTTTTTTTTGCTTCCCCCATCTGTTACTCTTTCTTATTCTCCTGCTTTGTTTTTCTTGATTTTTAGGAGTACTAGCTATTGATCTATCATCAATTTTAGACATTGTAAATATTATCTGATTGTGTTATGTCTGTCAACTTTGTCCACGGCGTCTCATTGAATAGAAATCCTTCATTTGGTGTAATTGAATTCATCTTTTTTTTCCTTTTGGTTTGTGTTTTTGAAAGCTCATGTACTAATTTGTTACTTTGAACCTCGTATCTCTAGCACTCCTCACTGGAAATTCACACATTGTTACTGCTCTCTCTCTCTCTCTTCTTTTTTAGAAATAAATCTACAATCCTTAGCTATGCTGTTCCTCTCTTGGGACCAGCAGCTCCTCATCTATATACTGCTTGGCTTGAACTAACTCATCTCTGAGACTCTGTATGTCTGTAATGACTGGAGTTTCAAGGAATTTTTTGATTCAATGACATGTACCACCATAACCAACTCAGTGAAATGTTTCTATTCAGTGACGGGCCAGGAAGGGGCGGGGGGCACAGGGTGGAGCAGAAGTCTGCAGGATGGAACAGCCTGGACCAGAATGAAGTAGCAGATATCAGGGGAGATGAGATTCTTTAAGTCTTATAAGGCCATCTGAAAAGTTTAGAGTCTGTCGTCATGGTGAAATGTGGGGTTTCTGAGCAGAGGGTAACTGTGGTATAATGAAAAATATTTGGTCTTTGTCCTCAGTTCCTGTCACAGAACTCCTGAAACCTAAGGAATTTCCTAAGTGGTAAAAGTGCTCATAAAGAGTCCCTTTGATAATATCTGAGTTTAAGCTAATGAAGTTACCTAGGATAGGGTCCCTAGATAGCATC